TCTTTGCCCTCACTCTGCAGAGCACTAGGCTGCAGTGTGACATGCTGGTCCAGACAGAAATGGCAATGTTCACCTGATCTGGCTACAGGAAGCAGTTTATAGCTGTGACCAAACAAGTACACAGCTGCAAACAGTTTTAAAAAATGGCTGATTGCATGAAAATATGACCCCTCATTGCATGAGGTATCAGATGAAGATGTTACAACAGGCAGCATCTTTAGCAACTTGTGTCTATGGAGCTCCCAGCCTGTTGCCTTTTTCAGAATGGGAGGGGAAAAGGGAGCAAAGGGAGTTCAGTCTGGGGGGTTTTCAGCTCCCCCCCACCTTCCAGAGGGTGTACTGGAACCTCCCTGCGGTGGGGGGGCTCCAATTCACCCACCCTTTAGCACCAGCTGGAGAGCCCCAAAAATAAGCTTCCTCCATTGCCTTTTCTCCCCTCCCATTCTGAAAACAGCAAGCACTGGCAGAGAACCTGGCCATTACTACCTGTCTGCAGGCTGCCAGCCCACAGCTAGATTCCCCTCCCCCCTGGTACCAGAAGTGAACTGGTTTGGTCTGGGGTAATGTTGCAACTCAAAATGCTTTGCAAAAATCATTCTGAGTTACATCTGGGAGCTGCACTTCTGTCTGCACCCCCTACTACAGGTTAGAACAACCTTCAGAGTTTACCTTTCTTTTCCTCAACCATGGGGAAAAAGTGGAGGAGGAGTTATGGTCACTGCATGCTACTTGAGGTTTCAACTACACAGGGATGTTTTACTGGTTTAGAGCTACTCTGCATTAGTGAGGGAGAGCAAAATAGCTGGCATGGAGGTCAGGATGAGCACCACTATCCCTAAAATAGTCCAACTAGTGTTCTAGGCCAGGGGTGGCCAATCTATGGCATGTGTGCCACAGGTGGATCAGGTAGCCTTTCTGTAGCATGTGGCAGATTGTGAAGGGAACAGGCACCACAGCTAAAGATAGGGGACGAAGCAGAACGAAGAGCAGCAGATCAGGCGGGAGAAAGGGATCAGAATGGCACTCGAGGGCAGAGGGCTTAATTTGTGACACTCTTACGAAACAGGTTGGTCTCTACTGCTCTAGGCTTTTTAGTATCAGAAGCACACTTTAAAGAGACATTAAAATAAGTAGCACAAGCCTCCAGAACTGGGAATCAATGGATCTTCTTCCTCTAAGCCTGATCCTAAGAGGAAGCAAATTGCTTCAACTGCCAATGAAGTCTGTGGGCCTGTATCCCAACAGGTTGTCAAATACCTCCATTTCCCATTCATTTAAGGAGGAACTGTAACTGTTCAGCAGCCCTCAAATTTAGTTCAGTGAGAACCAATGGTGCTCAGCACCTCACAAGATCCTACATGCCTCAATTTAATGATACGTAAAGACATCTTCCCAACAGAGGAGCCACCACACTCAGACATTTGACACTTGTTCTTTGCAGGTCAATATCTATGCCGATGCAATGTAATCCTTACAACAGCCTGTATAGTTACCACCAAGAAATACATTGGACCAGTGGGGGCCAGCCTTTTTGGCAAGTGTGCTACAAATTAGCCTTGTACCCTCCTCCAGTGCCTCCCTCATCTCTCCCCCCCACCCCCGTCTGATCTGCTGTTCTGCTTTCTGCCCTATCTGCCACTATGTTGCCTGTCCCCTCCCTAGTCTGCTGCATCTCACACATAGAGGGTGGCCTGTGCTATTGCTGGCATCTGTGTTGCAGGTTGGCCACCCCGAGACATGCATGCCCCACGTAGCACAGGCAGTCCCGTCCCCGTCCCCCCCTGCCGCCTTCCACATACACAGCATTTATACAGAGGTATGAAAAAGATCATTGTAAATAGAAAACCTAAACCTTTTATCACTTCTAACTTTTCTAATTGTAATGACTTTTACGTTCTAACAAGTGGTTTTAATTAATCTAAATCTTTCATCATTATTATTCCAAAGAGTTAATGCTCTCATTTTTATATTAGTGGGCAGACAAAAAACAGTAGCAATTAACTTCAAAATATTTCAGTCTCCTTTCTTTGTCTTACAGTGCCACACACTAAGTAAAAAGCCAGACTGTAGGTCACTGTGCCATCTGTAAATCACTTCATAATCATATTGTCATAGCTACCGAGGACAATATAATGCAGGCAATTTACTAAGAAGATATTATTAAACTGTTTTATTACTACATGTGATGTGTTCTTGTAACTTGGGTCTAGAAAAATCTGACTAGATTTTAGGAAGCTGCTACAATGATTGTAGAGGAAGAAGATATATTTTAGGACATGCATGGGCAAGGAGAATTAGATTTTTTAAGTTGTTTGAACTGAACAATGACAAGTAAAAACTTGAACATGATTTTTTTTTAAAGACATGGTTCAGGAAAATACTCAAATATTTTTCTCTCTTGTCCTTTAGAATTATGTTACATATGGAATTCATGGCAACTGACTAATGTTGTATCAGGAAGATGTTTTCCCTATCCAATGAAAAATCTGTGACTTTGCACTTTTCCCTTTGCCTTCCTCTGGAGCAGCTCTGTACATATAAAAGGATATGATAATTGATATCCCAGCTAAAATTTGTACCTAGATTTAATGTGCTGGACCTCTGCATAGGAAAAATTCCATCAGAAGAGGAAAATATTCTTCATTCCTGGTGGCTAAGACCTTAGACCCTGATGGACCTTTTCCCTTTCAGGCTGTCCTCTCTTTCCTTTGGAGCTGCTTCTATATTTTTCTGAATTTCAGTCCATCTTTCTCTCTCAGGAGACTAGAGGAAATTTGCCCCTGGCTCATTACTTCTCTAGTACGTAAAATCTTAAATTTTATTCTAAAAATACACTAACATGAACAATATATTTTTTGGCCTTGGTACTGTAAAATTGAAGCACAGGAATGGGATCAAAGAGAAGGCAGTAGGGCTCAAACACAGAGGAACAGGTGGCAGGGAGGTGCATGGTGGGTGACAGGCAGAAGAGAGGCAAGAGGGGGGAACAAGGGGTTCAGAGAGCAAGAGGCAGGGGTCTGGCCCCTCACCCCCTGTCACTGCTTTCCCCACCACAGCAGCAGAGGCGACAAATTTAAGATGACCTTCCATTAATTGGACTCTATATATGGAAAATTGTAACAAATTTATAATTTTTCTATGCATAGAGTCTAATTATTGGAGGGGGTCATCTTAACTTTGAAGTCCTCTTGGATTTGGGTGTATGTGGTATCCGTTTGGGAACCAGCAGTGTGAAGTAAAATAACTGGTGCCCCAAGTCACTACTTCCATTGCAGAGCAGCATTTTTAGTTTTAAGTCAAAGCTTCTAATACCTGCTAAAATACTAAACTGAACACAGGGGTAAATTTCCATACCTGTTGAGGTCCACCTTGTGATAGAGATCCAATGCTTTACCAAAATATTTCTTTTGAGAATTAAGAGGCTCTATTGTGGCTGCACAGGTTCCATGTTTCTCCCATTCATGCTTCCTATGGGGAAAAAAACCCCCCAAAACAGAGTTTTCAGAAGACAGAATTCATACATACACACACAGACAAAATTACCTACATTTTAGCATTATGTAAACTGATTACATTCACAGAGGAAGTAAGAGAAAAATCATCATTGACAAAACAATGCATCAATGAGCATTTCATGACCCTATATCTTCAACTGACCAACAGATAACATGCAGCAGTCATCAGTGCATACACCCCGACCCTATATGACAAAACAAAATAAGAAATCTATTCTAAACTCAACCAAGCCCCATCATCTGTCCCCAAAGAAAAGAAGATAATTCTGGGTGATTTCAGTGTTACAGTGGGCAGAGACCGAGCTACAGAAAGGAACACAGACAGGAAGGGGTGGAGAATATTCAAATAGAATTCTTCTCCTGAGCAAGTGTACGGAACAAATGCCTTATTCTGCCAAAAGAAACAAATGAAAGACATTGTGGTTCCCCCTCCTCCTCCCCCCCACCAGCTTCAAACAACGGCACTCAATGGACTACGTCACAGCTTGTGCATGGGATCATTGTCCATATTACCAGAGCTATGACCAACACAGGTGACTGCTGGAAAGATTATTGTTTAATACATTCCCTCATGTCCTTTCATATTGTCCCAAAATGATGTAAACAAAAGCAACCAAGGAAGAGACTCAATATCGAGTGCTAGGAAGACCATACTAAAAATCAATTATCTCCATCCGTACCTCAATGAGAAACTCTCCAACCTCTTTAATGATCTTGATGCCACTTATTAGTGGGAGAGCCTCAAGAAAGGCATCCATGAGGCATGCAAAGAATCTCTAGGCTTCTCCACAAAGAAATATAAGGACTGGTTTGATGAGAATAACAGGAAAATTCAAGCTCTCATTGACAGAAAAGGAGAGCCATCAGTGCTTAACAGAATGAGGTCAACTGTAAACACAAGCTTACTGCCACATTACAGCCAAGACCCAGAGGAAGATTCAAGAGCAAAAAGAACAAGGAGTGGGAAAACAAAGAAAGAAATATTTAAATGTTTACCAGTAGCCTTGATGTGCATAGTTCCTTCTGTGCTGTCAAATCTACTTATGGGTCAAGCACATAAGGAATGGTCTCTCTAAGGTCCAAGGGTGGAACAACGTTCTTTAAAATCAGCTCCACTTACAATGCACAGTAGAAGGAACACTTTCAAGAGCTCCTGAATGGATTCTAACATCAGAGACAATATCATCAAAGCCATTCCACAACACCCCATTAAGGATTACCTTGCAGATCCACCAATTTATCAAGAGGCCTTGAAAACCACTAAGCAGATTACGAACAAAAACAAGTGGTCCTGACAGAATACTGTCATTACTGAACAGATTCCCAGTGACTCGAGATGCCTGAATTGTTACCATATCTTAAAAAAGAAGATCATATTGCAGCAATTATTATGGCATTGCATTCCTGTCCATAGCTGGGAAGATCCTTGTTCATGTTCCCAACAAATTCACTTTCCTCATTGATTCTACCCAAGTCCCAATGTGGTTTCAGGCCACTTGGAAGTATAATAGTTATGATCTTTCTTACTAGACAGCTGCAGAAGAAGTGCTGCAAGAAACAGAGATCTTTATGTGGGCTTCATTGACTCAAAGGCCTTAGTCAGGTCAATCAGAGAGGCCCTAAGGAAGATTCTGATGAGATTTGGATGCCCTCCAGAATTCATCACAATTATCAGGCTTCTTCACCACAACTTGACAGCGACTGTACTACGCAATGGCTCAGAAACAGTCCTCGTCATTAGTAGAACTGGAGTCAAGCAAGGATGTGAGACTGCATCACTTTTCTATCTATATTTCAGCTATTCCACGTCTCATTGTTGATAGACTTCCATTTGCAGTATCATCCAGTATCATATGGATGAAAATCCCTTAAACATCAACCAGCTATGTTTCAAATACAAGATAGCAAACACCTGCATTAATGATCTTCAACACACTGATGATTGTGTTGTGTGCTCCCACTCAACTGAAGAGCTCCAAGTTGTTCATGGATAGCCATCTTCCCAAAAAGTAAACACAGATGATGATATTCAATGCTGGATAAAATCTGCCAGTGCTGCCTTTGTACATCTCTGAAATAGTGTCTTCGATGATCATGACATCAGGACCTAAATCAAGGTTCTCATCTAGTAGGCTGCTGTCATCCCTACCCTGTTGTACAAGTAGGGAAGTTGGATGACATATCAGAAACACCTGAAAGCTTTTGAATGTTACCATTAGTGATGTCTGGAAAATCCTGCATATCAGCTGGAAGGATAAAAGAACAAATGCTGGCATTCTGGCTCAGGTAACCACAACCAACATTCAAATCATGTTTATACTGCACCAGCTCCATTGGGCAGGACATGTCATAAGGATACCTGACAACTAGCTCCCAAAATAGGTCTTATAATCCCAACTCAGCAATGGGCACTGCTCTAGAGGTGGCCAAAAGAAGAGATTCAAGGACACCTTGAAGGCCAGTCTGAAGAAATGCAATATAAACATCAATATCTGGGAGACTCGATCACTGCATCATCCCCAATGGCGCCATGAAGTATGACAAGAGATTGATTAATTTAAGCATACTCGCCTCACTATGGAGGCAGACAGACGAAAGAGCCTGACATCACCAGGATCTACTCCTTCCTCCCAGATCTAATTTGCCACATTTGCAGTTGAACATGTGGATCCTGGACTGGCCTCCTCAGTCACCTACAGATTTACCAATTACTTTCTTACTTACTACAAAACCATCATCATCAAATTGAGGGACCAACCACTGTCGCTGATGATGCACATTAAAATTATATTTGGTGAAATAAGTTATGTTCAGAAGTTAAAACTAAGAATTTGCCTAAAAGTTTTAGCACTTTAAACTTTTTTTAATATATGAGTTTTAGTGATGTCTTCTAAGCTAATACTATGTAGATTATAGTTGACCCTAAACTGATTAATGGTAAATTAGTGTAAAAGAAGAAGAGAAAAAGGAAATGAGCGGGGAAGAAAATGTCATAGGCAAGAAGGGTTCAGAAAGCAGGAGAAAGAGATTAAGAGAAGTTGGCTTAAAGTCACTTGAAGTCACTTAGTAGCTTTACACCAGCTAGATCTGGTTTAGGGCAGATGCAGTTTATGCCCATTTTCAGTAGCCTATATATCTGCTTGATAACAAGCAAGGTACATTCAGTAACCACATGAGAGAGAATTCCTATTAATACTAATGATGAAATAGTGTAGTTGACACATTTCTGTATTTTCTGGCCCTTTATAGCAAGGTTTTGAAGTTAAGCCAGGTAATAAAGTATAAAAAAAATCCAGGGTTACTTAAGAATCCTTACCTTTTAGCCTTAAACTAGTTCTTGATGAGCTGGCTATCTGCAGATGAACCATGATGAGTGCTTCTTTGAAATTTAATTTTTAAATCTACCAGTAAGTAAGAATTCCATTTTTCCCTGATAGACTGCCCACTGATTAGAGGCTTTTAAGACTTTAGAATATAGTAA